CCTCCCAAGATTATTTCATTTCTGTTTATTTGTACAGTGCAGCCCTGGGGATGGAACCCAGGGCCTCCCACATGCTAGGCAAGCACTGAGCTACAACCCTCCCCCCGGCCTATTATTATTATTATCTCTCCACCATTAGGATATGCAACCCATTTGGCGCCAACAAAGGAAGTTCAAGCCCAGTTGGCCTCAAAAAATAAAAACAAAACGCAGGCCAGGGTTGTATCAGCAGACTCCTAGGTTCAGTTATGTAGTCACTTACTTAAAGGCCCGTGGTTGGCCCCGAGATACAGAAGCGAGGCCACAGAAGCCACCGAGGGGGACACTTGCCCTGACACGAAGCCAGTCATGCCGGGGATCCTGTCCTGCCTTCCGGAGCACCGTGCCACTCTGCTCCGCCCTGGCAGAGGTCTTCTTGCAGAGCGCTCCGCCCCACTTCCCACCCTCTCCAGCCTTGAGGAAGCTGGAGTTTTATTTTTAGAGCTTTCGGAAAGGGGAAGCGCTAAGGGACACAGAAAGAAAAGGAAGGGACAGGCCATTTTGTCCCCTTGAAGATTTCCTTCCTGCCGCGGCCCTGTCACCCGCTTCCCTTGCCACTCACACAAGTGCACCCGTGAAGCTGCGGCTTCTCCACCCTTCCCCACGTGCAGGCTTTTCTGCAGCTCTGTGCGGGCCGGAAGCTCACGTGGAAGAGAAAGACCAGCCCAGCTCCGGAGGTATAAGGAGCTGCAGAGAGAGGAGCCTGCAGGTCACCCTGCTGGTGTCTGGCCCCGCTGTCCCAGCTTACAGCTCTGTGGAGATTTTAGCAAGCATGCACTCAGCAAGCATGCAGCACGGACAGGGCACAGTGGTTTCCCAAGGCCCTGGGACAGCATAGGTCGGAAGGGGTTCTGGTCTCGCAGCCCTGTCCTCTGGCAGCCCAGCCAGGCTGGGGCGAAAGTGTCCCTTTTTGCTGCTGCCTGACACCACACCCGCTGACACCCGGGCTGTCCCTGGTGGCTGCTATCAGTGTCTCAGAAGGTCCTGCTCGGGGCAGCAGTCTCATTCCTACCAAAGGGTCACAATTATTTCTTCCCAGGCCCCAGCGATGCCATCACTCTTTCCTGGCGTGGGTTTCTCATCTTGTTCCGCCCTCCCAGTTTAAGGCTGCATGAAGAAGTTTCTCATCAGCACAGCCTGGCATTCTGCTGTCTTTCTCCTCAGTTCTCCACAATGCTGATAACCAATCCCAGCTCTTGGGAGGCTGAGGCAGGAGGATCACAGTGAGTTCAAGGCCAGCCTGAGCTACTGTGTATAGTAGACTGTCTCAAGAACAAAAGAAACCCACAACAGTGTGAAAGTCTGCTCTCTGGAACCTCAGATGGCCTTGCTTTATCCTGACCCAAGCTATGTTAGTAAGATGAAGGCCAACCACAACAGCTTCCAGCATGGAGGCAGAGAAGGGTCTAGCCTTCACCAGGAGTCAGGCTAGACCAAGTGACTGTCAAGAGCTTCTCACCCTTTCGAGCAGAATTTAAGAACAGCAGGAAACCCAGCCAGGCAGCATGGTGGGTAGTAATATCAGCCACTCAGGAGCCGGAGGCAGTAGGATCCCGAGTTTGAAGCCAGCCTCAGCAACTTAGGGATATGCTCTTTCAAAACATTAAAAAGCCCTGAGGATGTGGCTCAGTGTGGAGTTCTGGATTCAGTTCCTGCCACACACATACCACACACACACAAACACACACACACACGCACGCACGCACGCACACTAAAAAACAGGAAACTCTGCTCCCTCTACCCAGGCCTTTTCTGCAGAAAGAGGCCACATTAGGAATAATCACAGTACCTACAATGAGTTAAATGATGCCTCCCCAAAAGATGGCCACATCTTAGTCCCTAGAACCTGTGACTGTTCCCTATGAGATGAGACTTCATAGCCAGGCACAGTGGCCCACACCTATGATCCCACCTCTGAGGGTGGCTGAGGCAGGAGGATCACAACTTCAAGTTCCACTTGGAAGTTGAAATGAGAATTCTGAAAGGGGTTAGGGCTTTAGCTCTGTGGTGGAATAGTTCTGGGTTCAATCTCTAGCACCCCCCAAAAAAGGAAGAGTGGACCCAAAGTGCTATCATGTCATATATACTCTTTTTCTCTATTTTTTTTTACAGACCTGGAGATTGAACCTAAGACCTTGCATGTGTTAAGCAAATGCTCTACTCTGAGCTAATGGCTAACTTTTTTTTTTTTTTTAACTGATTTGGAGACAAGATCTTCAAAAATTGCCCTGGCTGGTCACAAGTTCAAACCTTCTGAGTGGCTTGAACTATAGGCATGCACTTCTGTGCCCAGCACACACATACACTTCTATTCACAACAGAATACTATTCAGCCATAAACAAGAATGAAATGCTGACATTTTCGACAACCTGGATAGAAAAAGAGATTACTGTGCTAAGCAGAATAATCCAGGAACAGAAAGAAAAGTATCACATGATCTCGCTCACTTGGAGAATCTAAAAAAGGTGATCTCCTAGAAGTTGGGAATAGAATGGTGGTTACCCAAAGCTTCCTAGAGAGCAGACACAAGGAAAGGATGGGGAAAGGGTGGGGATCAATGGATGCCGAGTTAGAGTGAGGAGCAAAGAGTTCTAGTGTGCTGTTTCACAGGGGTGTGACTATGGATTCCGGTAGTGTACAGTACATTTCCAAAAGCTAGAAGGAAAGATTATGACATTTTTCTCCATAAAGAAATGATAAGTGAGTCATCATGCTGTGCACACCTGTATTTCTAGCACTCTAGGAGCCCGACCGAGGCAGGAGGACTCCTGGGCAACTTAGCAAGACCCTGCCTTAAAAAAAAAAAAAAAAGCTGAGGAAGTAGCTCAGTGGTAAAGCCCTAAATTCAATCACCAATATTGTTAATAAGCATGCATAATTTGTATGTTTTATGTATCAGTTTAAAAATAAAGCACTGGAGTCAGCTGTGGTGATGCATGGCTGTCATCCCAGCACTCCAGAGGCTGAGGCAGGAGGAGAACCATCTAGAATTCAAAGCCAGCCTGGACTATGGTGAGCTCAAGGCCAGCCTGAACTTCACAGAGACTCCAGGCACCCTTCTGTGAGACATGCAGAGGGAGACAGGGCAGGGACGAAGAGGAGACAAATGACGATAAAGGCAGAGACTGGAAAGAGGTGGCCATGAGCCAGAGTCGGAAAGGGATTCTCATGGGAGCTCCAGAGGGAGCAAGGCCAGGCTGCCACCTGCATTTGTGCCCCGAGTTAGAGTGTAGATTTCTGGTCTCCAGAACTGTGAAAATAAACTTCTGCTGATTTAAGCGACCTGGTCTATAACCCTTTGTTACAGCAGCGAAGGGAAACATGTAGTAGCTGACTGTGGGACTGCCCCTTTGTGCTGGGGTCTGCTCTGAGAGTTTGACCCACACTGAACCAAGGACATCCTGGCCTTAGGGGAGAGGTCTGGCCGTGCAGACACAATCCCAGCTTCCACGCTCACTATTGGGACCTTAAGTAAATTAAATAACCTGTCTAAACCTCACATTTTCAATTCATAAATAGGCAGGCAGGATCTTCTTCAGTAAGGTGCCAGGAAAATAAAATGAGGAACAAACAGCGCAGGACAGAGACAGTTGCAAAGCCTCCATGAAGGCTGCCTAGTATAAGACTTTGAGAGCTGAGCAAGCCTAACTGAGAGCAGGCACCAAGCTGCCAGGACCGGGGGCAAGGCCCCGGGACTCCATGCAGGCAAAGATCTTCCCGGAAAGCCCACCAATCTGGAACGGGAACGGCTACTTCTTCCTTGACTTAGACAACTCAGTCCTTATCGCCTGCCTCTCTTTAGAAAAGGCAGAGATGCCTGGGATCATTCGAACCACAGCGTTTCCACAGGCTACCTGAAGATCTTGGGAGCTAAGCACGCAGTCATCTTTACTGACACAGCCCAGGGGAAGCTCCACAACTCCCCAGGATTCTGGTGACCAGACCCGGAGCTCCCAGTTCAGAAGTCAGCAGGGAGCAGAAACCTCCTGCTGGCCTTGTGGCCTTTCCCCCAAATGTGGTCCACACAGCTTTAACGCGTCCCAGCAGACTGGGGAGAATGACACATTCAAGAGCCTTCCTGGGGGACGAGGTGAATCCAGTTGGGAAGTAAAGAATGAGTAAGATTAACCGAGACCTAACGTTACCATCCGAAAAGAGGCAAACAGAAAGCAGTTTCATTTATTCGGCGCGTTCTGATAAAAGTTTGCCCCGCTTTCTTTCCCAGGTGACGATGTGACTTAAAGGAGCAGCACCGTCCCGGATGCCAGGCCTCGTGTCCCTGCCTGGGAGACCTGCGCGTCAGGGGTTAAGCGGAGGAGAGGGCCCGGCCGCCGGCGCCACCCGGCGCTGGCCACCAGGCCTCCTCCCAGCGGGCTGCCCCACAGCCACCTGCGCTCTCTGCCCTGGCGCCGTCCACCCTCCGGGAGGAAGGAGGACGGACGACAGCTCCCCTTCCTTACTTTCAGGCGCCCCCAGATTTCTACGCCGCCGTCACCACTGACGAGAAGCCGGGGCGCCGGAGGAGTCGCTTCTCCGTCCCCTCCTCCCCATCAGGGAGCGCGCAGCAGCACCCCCGCGCCCGCGCCCGCCACCCGGAGGGAGCCGGAGCCCGGGGCGGGAGCTGCTGCAGTAGGGGCCCGGGTCCCAGCCCGCAGCCCCTCGCCCTCCCCCAGCACCCCGCAGCGCGCGTCCCGGGGAGGGGTGCCCCAGGCTCCGAGCGCCCCGCCTCCCGGGCTCCGCGCAGGGGACCGCTGAGCTGCACCCGCGGGCCCCGGACTCGAACCCGGGCCGCAGCGCACCCCCCCCCCCACTTTACCAAAGGATCCCAAAGCAAGCCCCGGCCCGGCGCCCGCGCGCGGAGAGGAGTCGGGGCCGCCGGCGAGCGCGCGCCTCGGGCCCCTGCGGGGCGCGGGCGGCGGGGCGCGGGAGGCGAGCCGGGGCGAAGCCGGGGGTCACTCACGCGCGGGCCCTGGGGAACCCCATGGAGAGCAGCACGTCCAGCGCCGAGCCATGCTTGATGGTGCCGGGGCGCTGCTGGCGGCTCCTCCGCGGGGTGACTTTGCTGTACAGCTCCTCGCGCGCGGCCATGCCGAGGGGCTGCGCCGTCCGAGCCGCGGCTCAGCACCCGGCCATCGCCCAGGGCTCGGGGCGCAGCGCGGCTCGGGGATCGGGGGGGGGGGGCGGCGGGCGCTGCGAGCCTCCCGGGTCCGGACTCCGGCGCTTCCTGGTGAGGCCACCCGAGCCTGGCGTCCGCCGGCCGCTTCCGCGCGATCGGCCGCCACCAGCCGCCTCCGGCGCCGCGCCCGCAGCAGTCCCCGCTCCTCCGGCCCTGCCTTCGCCTCCCCGAGCAGTTCGGGAATTTGCAATGAGTAATTTTTGAATGGATCAAAAAGGAAAAGGAGCCTTGTGGGCTGGCCCTGCTGTGCCTGTACCCGGGGCCCGCCCCTTTCTTAAAGACACAGCGCTGTCCCAGGCGGCTGGGGCCGGGTTCGAGCCTGGGGCTGGCGGCTGGGAGGCGGAGCGACGCACCCCGGGAAGGCTGCCTGTGTACTCGGGTTCCCCAGGGTCACTGCAGCGCCCAGGCCCTCTCCTTGGCATGCATGTCGGCCTAAGCGGGCCTCGAGACTCAGACAGCCCCTTTCACCCCAATTCTTACCGGGTTTAACAGTGGGAATCCGGTGCAGTGAGGGATGATGGTATTAATGGATCAGAAGGCCCAGCGTCGTCACCACCAGTGGAGGTCAAGGGTCTACGCGGAAGACCCACCACATCCCTGCATAACCGTGACCAGCGACTGGACCTCTGGAATCAGTGGGATCTCAGATTCTGGGAACCGTCAGGATCTGAGAGAAGAGAGGACTGGGGTGGAAAGGAGGAGAAGAAGAAAACCTAGGAAGGAAAAGAGGAAAAGAACAGAGAAAGGACCCTAATTATAAGGGATTGGAAATGGAATGGGCTGATTTTCATGTGTGAATAAATAAATGAATTCAAAGAAAGACTGGATCACCCTGCACAGGAACCCTAATTGAAATGGTCAGACAAAACGTCTACCACCTTCAAGAGGGTCAAAAGTCATGACTTCCGTGCCCCGTGCATCACACCCCGAACCAAGTGTGAGCAAGTGTGGACCCATCATCACCTTCAGTCAGGGGCAGGGCTACTGGGTGTAAAGAAAGAGGTGCAGGATAAACCCTAGCGGCCTGCCTTCTTGTGGGTAATAATACAACCTGACATTTCCTGGGCTTGTGGTAAGCAAATGGGCGAATGAACTGAAATGTACAATGCCTTATGGGATGTCTGCCTTTATTATCTCAGTTTTATGGAGAGAAAACGCTCAGACACTCCTGAGGAAGACAGCTGGGAAGGGCAGAGCTGGAGCTTCCCCCACCGCCATGCCTTGAGACTCCTTACTTCTGCCCAGGGACCCCCAGGCGTTGGGATGGAGCCTTACACCTGCGGGCTTCTCCAGAACAGACAGCTCCTCATGAGTAGCTTCATGATGTTGCTTTATAAGGCATCTAGAGTTTGTTCATGGGAAATGATACAGCTTAAATTCCTGAGCTCCACACCCATACCCGGTTGGTTTTCTACAAAATATCCAGCAGCCTTCGGAAGCGGGAAGATAAAGACAGCTGGAGGCTCAGCACCGCTGTGCATAATTCTGCCTGCTGCTGTGTGGAGGAGGAGGGATAGTGCGTACTTCCTGGGTGGGACCAGTGGTACATTTTACAGAGCAGAGGAGACCTTGCAGAATGTGTCCCAGGGCATGGGGCTGGGTAACCCATACCTGGTATCTAATCTCCTTGGGATGTGCTCAGTAAAGCACACTGGACATTACCACAATCCCAAATTGTTTTCAAGAATCTCGTGTGAAAATTAAGTGCTCAGGATCCTCACCAAGAAAGAATGATGCATACACAAGTGCTATACATAATAAGAGCACCGTGCTCAGCACTGAGTGCTGGTACTCTGCTTACACAGGGAATCATCTAGGTCCTTAATAAGGCTGTGTGATAGGCATTGCTGTTTAATTATTAGCAAAGACATTAAAGCAGAGATCAATCCTCTTGTCCAAGGTCCCAAGACTAGTAAATGGCGGAGCTGACAGCTGAACTGTTAACATTTGACCAAACACTTCCTGTCATTGTTAGGGTGACAGAGAGGACAGTGACCTTTAAAATAGCTGAAGAAGCTCGGTGTGGTGGCACAGCTTATAATCCCAGCCCTGCAGAGGCTGCAGAGGCTGAGGCAGGATGATTGGTCATCAAGAGTTCACAGCCAGCCTGAACAACATAATGAGACTCTGTCTCAAACAAACAAAAAACAAGACAGTTGATGGTAGCTGTACATAATCCCAAGACTTGGGAGAGGAGGGTGAGCTGAGGCAGGAAGACTCCAACTTCAAATCAAGACTTGAGAAATTAAGTGATTTAGTAAGACCCTGTCTCAAAACAAAATGGGGACATAGCTCAGTGGCAAAGCCCCTGTGGATTTGATCCCCAGTACCACCACCACCAGGAAAAAAAAAACAGCGGTAGACTCCTCCAGTTCCCCTTGGCTCAGAACTGCTGGAGCTGCGTTTCTTCAGAAAGACTGAATTAATTGTCTTCTCCTTGCCTCTAGGCAGACTTGCAATAGAGTTAGTGATGCGGATAAAAATAGTTTCAGGTAGCCTGGGAAAAGCACTATGGAAGGCCATGCATCTTAGACACAAACGGTTTGGTCTGGGGCATTTTAACATAAACCCACTGCTCCTTGCCCTCCTTCAGCTTGGTGCCAGCACTTGTCTTAGTTGGCATGGCTGCCATTTGTTCTGCACAGGGTTGAGGGAGAGGGCTGGTGGTTAAGGTGCATTGCGCTTGGATTGTATTGCCTCTGCAAAGCCAGGAGACGCCTTACCCACATCTGTATTGTTCTATTACAAAGGGAGAAGGAGGACTCTTCAGCTGGCAGTGAACCTTGCAGCAGTGGGGTGGGGGGAGGAGGCAGGGCCTTGCACAACGACAGAGGAGCTGACACATCAACACTGACTGGGAAGGCAACGCTCCTTCCTGTGCCCTGGACCACGCGGTTCTTTGTCCGTGTGAGCGCTGTTTAGATCCAGGTGTTGCCCCGCTGCTTCCTGGGTAGCTGGTACAGCTGCAGTGGCCACAGGGTGCCCAGCTGACTGTCCTTGTCACTTCTGAGGGGCACGCTGCGTGTTTTTCTTCTTCTTGAGGTCCTGGAGAAAAGGTCAAGTGGTGACATTGAGAACAGGAAGTCAAGCTGCTGCGTTTCTGGTTCTGAGGGTTGGGGTGTTGCCTTGCCTGGTGAAAGGGGGGCTTTCGAGCCTCTGTAAATGGTTTCGGGTCCTAGACTTCAAGGGGATTCTTTACAACCAGAAGAGTTTGAAGTCCAGGCTGCAAGTCTCTGCCCCAAAGTCCCCTCACCTGCAAAATGTAGGACTCTGCTTAGGCTGGTGATCCCCAGGACTGTGAACTCAGGAAGCCCTCGGGGTGGGGTCACCCAGCCAGAGGTAAGCTGGCGGGTAAAGTGTGAGATCCTCTCTTCCTCTTTCAGAGCAGGTATAGTACTAAGTTAGCTTCACGTCTTGACCGCGTTATGTGAGACTTTTTGTGAGAAACAGATTTGGAAAAAAAAAATGTTTTTAAGCTCTAAAAAGCACAGAACTGCTCCATGTGGAAGTGCAAATCCTAAACCCCAGTACTCCTGGAGGCTGAGGCAGGACAATCACAAGTTCAACCCCAGCCTGGTCAACTTAGTGACTTAGCAAGACGCTGCCTCAGAAGATACCGTAATCAACCCCCCATCCTCCTAGTCTCACACGCTTTAAGGGAAATGTTTCAGTACACATGATACGTTTTTATCATATTCATGCCCCCTACTGCCCAGCCTTACAGTTCTTCTTGTCCTCTTATGTAATAATATTATCCTCTCTACTTTATTTCTTTTAGGTTCAGGGTCTTGCAACATGCAGGCTGGCCTTGAATTTACTGAAATCCTCCTGCCTCAGCCTTCTGAGTGCTGGGATCACAGGTGTGCACAGGCACCTTTGCTGGTTCCATGAACTGGAGTGATTTAACGCTCAGTTTAGTTTTCGTTTTTGGTGTTTTTTGTCTTTTTGAGACAAGGTCTCACTATGCAGTTCAGGTTGGCCTTGAGCTCACTTCGTAGCCCAGGCTGGCCTCAAACTCACAACAATCCTCCTGCCTCAGCCTCCGAAGTGCTGGGATTACAGGTGTGCACCACTACATCTCGATTCAGGTGTTTTAGAAGAGCGTAATTCAGTGAAAGGAAGCCAAGGGGAAATGGAGTGACATTAGCCATGGGTGGAAGAGGTGGCCTTCCAAGGACCTGTCAGTCCTCCGCTGCCCCTAAGCACAACTAGACCAAGTCTAAGGCCTGTTGACTGGCTGCTGTTTCACGGTCGCGTTTGCTCCTACGACCAGCGCAGTGCTGGATGCTACAGAGTCTGCAGGGAGCAGGTGCTTGATCAGCCTCCGCTCCTTAACCTGTGAAACCAACTTGCCCTGCAGGAAAGGCCAGGACTGAAAGCATATTTGAAGCATCAGTGCCCAAATCAACAGAAACCTCACTGTTATTTTTTCTCACATTATGAAAAAAAATTATGTATTTCTCTCAAATGCAAAAGAAAGGGGAAAGGAAGCTATTCCTATTACCTGCTTATTTTGTTCCTTGTTTCTGAGCAAAACCCCAAACATCTCTAATTTGGAATCTTTTTGTAGGAGACTCACTATCATCCATATGCCGCAGTCTTCCTCTAGGCCTCTTCCCAAAGCCACCGCCCCAGGGACTCTGACACTGATTTTCCACAAAATAATACATGCCTGGTAAAACTTTAAGAGGAGGGGAGATTCTCACACACCTTTTTTATTTGCAGAACAAAAGATAACATGCAGGCGCAGGCTGGTAGGTAGTCCCAGCACTTGGGAGGCTGAGGTAGGAGAATCCCTGTCACATCTTGATCTTGTCTCAAAAAAGTGTCAGTTACCATCTCTCCCACCCACTTCCTGTCCCGCTCTTTATCTCAAAAACCACCCCAAAAAGTGTTCACTCATGCTTTAAGGCAAGTTTCATTCCAGGGTTGGATTACAGGTTTGGAAAAGAAGGCCAAATGATTTGTTTCCTCATCTTTAAAATGGAACTGATACTTACCTCATAGAGTTTTTGTGATAATTAAATGAATCATGGATGGATACAAAAGGAGCAAGCATCCTGTTGGCTGCAGAGTTTTCTGGATGTACCATTTGTCTGCATAGTTCCTTGATATTTGTACATTTCTTTGTTTCGTTAGACCCAGGGCCACAGAATTAGATGAATCATATTTTGTTTACGTATCATTAGTTCATTCTTAGGAATACAGCAAGCACCACAAATTCTTCACCTAAAACCAAGGTTAGGA